AACAATCAGGTTTTGCTTACTCTCATGTGGCTGAGGAAATATCCACACCTTGATACACTTGCATTAATATTTGATATGGACCCGACACGTATTACAAGAACTATTTACAGAATCATACCCCAGATGTGGCGATACTTCCATAATCAGATCAGGTGGCCAAATAATGCAGAATGRGCTAAYCTAATKGGCAAYTGGCCTGAATTCCCAAATGCTGTTGGCGCTATAGATAGTACTCCACACGAAATATACAGGCCTCTAACTGAACCGCAACGACCCTTCTACAGTGGACACCGTCACTACCATTGCTTTAATACACAGCTAATTATCGATAACAATGGACATTTACGTTTCGTGCATGCTGGGTTTTTAGGAAGCACACACGATGCGACATCATATCGTCTAATGACACCGGTAGGACCTGGACAGCCATTATCCCTACCAAACGGAGCAAAACTGCTTGCAGATAAGGCTTATCCTGGTGCCCATCCCCTTCTTACGGCGGTTAGAGCTCAGCAAATGCGACTGTTGAATAGGCGAGACAGAAGAAGAGCACATCGATTTAACCGTCGCTTATCTAGCAGAAGAATCAAAGTTGAACATGTTTTCAAGGAAATGAAAACATACCGGGCTATTTCAAGTATTTGGAGACATCAGCGGTGGTTTATGCCTGTGTGTATTGAATTAGCAGCGTTTCTGGCTGAAAGACGTGTTTCTCTTTTTGAAAGCATTTAATTAACTTGTTTGTCTGTTATCTAATATTCAACTGCGAAATGCCACATGTATTAAGCCTTCTACTTTATATATACTATGGTAAATAGAAAAATGTTGTATTGTTCTTATCGTTCATTAAATAGTGTGCTTATTTGTGTAATACAGCAAAGTGTACATCTATTTTTGTTTTGTTACTAGAATAGAGTTGAACAACACAAGTAATTTAATAAAAGCCGTTTTCAATGATGAATCCACGAGTTTGCTTCTCATTTGCATGCTATTTTAGCCCACATACTCATTTGCATTGAACAAGCCGCTTACGCGAAATCGTTCTAATAGGAGGCTGCTCTGTTTTGCACGAAATATATATTGGTTAATATATAGGTTGTACGAGTAAAGATACTGCCAAATACATGTTTTAATGGTTTAATCATTCAAAGCTAACTCATATTTAGCTAGCATTGCAATGTTTTATCTAGCATATCACACATTTTTGTGTTTAAGTTGAATATTAGCCCATCAGGGCAGGACATGTCGTATGGTTTTCCCTTATAACATTGGATGTACTTGTTGCAGTCACTTGGATTTGGATGAGACTCATCACCAGTACTGGAGCAGCCGGCAAATGGAACTAAAACATAAGCAAAAAACAAGAAAACAAACACAACAAATGAGCAGTAAATTATTAATTTAAAGGGACACTGTCAATGGCACGCATGCGCGAGTAAACTTGAAAACATTAGGCTAATGTTTTCAAGTTTATGACTCCAAGTTGGCGCGACATAAATCAGCTCTTAAACGTAAACAGATCTAGAATATTCCAAAGTGTGTCAAAAGCACCACAAAATGATTTACCTCGAAGGTAATACTTTCAAAGTCCGTTAGAGGCGAGACTGTTACTGCGCATGTCATCCATTGACAGTGTCCATTCAAAGCAACGACAACAACAGCAAGAGAAATAAAAACAACAGCAGCAAAAATGACAACAAACTCAGCAGCAACAATAACAGCAGCAACAATAAAAACGACAGCAACAGCAACAACAACAACAACACAAGAAACAACAAATGACTATAACAACAGCTACAACAACAACAAAAAACAGAATCAAAAGAGCAAACCTCGTTATAATGAAATAGGGGAGTTATAACGCAGTATTWCCTTTGAAGCATTGCATATTTGCTGGGTAGTCACATTCCTTTGTGTATTTATTGAAAGCAAGTTTACCAGGACACGACATATCGTATCGTGATCCCCCATTGCACTGGATGTACTTATTACAGTCACTTGGATTCTCATAGACGCCGTCACCAGCACTGGAGCAAGAGATTGGACCTATAGAAATTGTATAGAAATTAAATATAAAAAAGATACAACCTTTTGCAAAAATTATGAGAATTGTCTAAATATCTAAATATCATAATATCCATATCCATATATTGTCCGGAACACGCGGGTTTGCTAGAATAATTCATTGTTGACATCGAGCAAATGTTCAGAACTACGGATAAGTCCGTCGCCAAAAAACAACTAAACTACAAAGACAAGGGACTAAGGGCATCGCGCGGGATTACCCATCATGCACTCGATATTATGATATTTAGATATTTCGACAATTCTCATAATTTTTGCAAAAGGCTGTATATCAAAACTAAAATAGTACAAATATTACATAATGTAGCATAAATGGATGGCAGCTAACAGATTGTTAATATGATGCACATTACGATACATGTATTGGTATTCTTAAAAGAATGTTATAACATTTACAGAATTGCTGCAAAACTTTAATGATATATTGAGAGTAGAGGTACACTTTTTATCATCGAACGGCAATTGTCGAAAGGAGAATGCGAGACCGAAAAGAATTATGGTTACACTATTTTGACAAACAAAATTTCAGTTATTGGATTCTCCTTGGAGACTAAATAAAACCAATTCTAGCTACAGGCTGACCCAGGCTATCTTACATGATAAATAATTTGTTACATATCAAACAATTGTCATTCGCGCGGGCTACCTGTGTTTTTTTATGGGATCCCTTATTTTCAAGAATGGGAGGGGACTAGGACAAATTTATAATGGCCGACATGTTGAAAAGCGATTTCTCTGCAAATTCTTTAAGTTTTAGCTATTTTAAAGCACTAAAATTAGGAAAAAACTTGAAGTAAAGTACTTCCTTATGAGGTAAGATTACCATATATATGGTCAGCAAACGTTTGGCTAACGAATGAATATCGGAGAAAAATTCATTCGTTTGCCAAACTTTTGCCGGGCCATATATATGGTAATCTTACCTTATAAGGAAGTACGTTAGAAAGTTTATTTCAAGTTTTGTTCCAGATTTTAGTGCCTTAAAATGGCTCAAACTGTACTACTGAGATAAAATGCGATCAAACGCAAATCAAATCAAACCAAATCAGACTTACCCTGCAATGCTATCTTAAACTATACAGAAAGGGAAAAAATACATAAAAAAGAAAAAAAATTAGTATTTGACACTGTACTTTTTTAAAGGCTACTTTATGAATGAAATAGTTGCATAAGAATTTAAGGATCTGTCGTATGAGAAAATGTAGATTCTTAGCGCTATTGTGTTAACGGGGAGACCTACGTAGCACGCAGTTGATGTAATGTATTCATAAAATGTATTGTATTCCATTGTTCCTCGTTCTATTTTATTAGAGTGGTTCTCATTAACCCGTGAAACAAAGTGCAATAGTCAAAATGTAATAAAGTGTAATAGCCAAGAAATATAATAAAAAACAAAAGAGACAAAGTGTAATAAAGTGTAATACGCTAAAGTGTATTTCACGGGTTAATGAGAACCACTCTATGTGTTTTGTATTATATCTTTATGAATATATTACATCAACTGAGTGCTACATAGGCTCTCCCTTGTATTAACAACATTTTCTCGTGCTTTCTTTTGTCTTTGGTGAGTTCTTTGCGTAATAGAATCTGCTGTCAAGTAAAACAGCGGTTATTCGCTTTGAATTCGAAACTAGAGTATTCTGTCTGTACAACAGCAGCGTCGACGTGTACGTGCACAATCATGGAAGTCATACAATACCCTCTTTAAATAAAGTTCATTGTATGACTTCCGATGATTTTGTAGTAGACAATTGAATTCGGTATAGAGTGATCGCACTTAATCCGTGCAAATGTACAAACTAAATAGTTCTATTTAGTTGTATTTAGTAAATCGTGCATGCGGTACGCAAATTATAAATTGAATTGATACAAATGAAGCATTCAATACCGTATAACTTCAGGTCCACTTTTAGTACAAATTAATACTACTTAGATTTTGTACAATTGCACGGATTAAGTACGAATCTCACTCTACTGTGTGCAGCTGTTCTTTAATAGAAACGTAGAGTGAATAGGCTTATTTTTGAATTGTATTGAAAGCTAATTAAAGCATGGCTTTTTGAAGATTATTAAAATTTTCTTGTTCTTTCAAACGTTGACTCAACGGTAGAGAAAATCTGTTGCGTTTAGGAAAAACTTTGGCTAACCTCGCTTCGCAGCTTCCGTAGGCCAATTTAAGCCTGCATTAGTTAAAACATTTAATTAATCAGTTTGTTAGAATTATTTATAGTATAGATAACTTACCATAGCAAGGGTAAAGCAAATTATAAGAAATGAAAAATAGTTAGATGCCATGCTGCTAATCCCGTGGAACAAACGAGCTGCTAGAAGAAATAATAGAAATGTATAATCATTAAAAAATGGAGTATCAAAATGCTTTAACAGGCAGCATGTTCAGAAGCTGACCTACTTTTCTAGCCATTATGAGAGACCAACTACGAGCTTCTAAATGCAATATTACAATATTCTAAAAACCTGATGTTAATTCTACACTAGATTTTTGCTTCTGAACAATTGCCTTTTAAAAATTTTCCTGATCGATACTTTATACAGTGTAATTTGATTTTAAGCCGGTTCGCACTGGCTATCTTTGCGGCATTGAAAAAATGTTCCCTTATTACTCGGGGTTCCTGTGGAACGCCGAGTATTAATTTCGGCGTTATTTTTTTTTGCATTCATCGCCAAATCGCGGCCAGACTAGCCAGGCGTTCCTAGCCTGTCTTGTCTCGTCCCATGCTTCAAGTGCTAATTGCATCAGCTTCTTCGTCGATGGGCTTATGGTATTTCTTCTTCTCAAAAAATACGCTCAAATCACTCACAAATCCACACGCGGTATAGCCACACTAAAGGATGTCGACCGTTTTCGGAATGGGCTTTTTGAAAAATACCGCGAATAAATCAAGCTTATTGTGACTTAAGTTATGATACGCAAGCCATTTTAATCTATCCAAAGCCGACCAAAGCCAGTCATAAACTACAGGCCTTCTATCTTAAAAGCTACTGATATTCAAAGCTCTAACTACTATAAAAGAACAATAGACTCAAGTGCCGATTGTCAACAAAACTGTACAGGTGAAATAACGAAGGATTGCAAACAAAGGATCAGTGAATGGTATTTGCGTTAGACCAAATCCGGGACCAAATGTCTGTCAAAGTAAGGACAATTCTTGGTCAACAATAATAATATTAATACATTTTCTTTTTTTACTATTTTCAATCCAAGGAAGGATTTTTAGTTTTACTTTATATTTGATAATTAAAGTTTTTATTATTCTTTGCAATAATTGCGGTAAATTTATCAAGTCAAAATTATATAAGTCTTAATTATTATGCTATCAACTGGACTGAGAATTTATTATATTTTTTGGTCACGGCAAGAATAAATGAAACTACATATTCTATAT